GTTGAAGATTTGGATTGATCGATGCATCATTTTTCCTTCTAGCATAATACTTTCAGTATCCCTCCACCTAACGATGTCATTTGTTTGATAATAATCACCGAGAAAAATCGTGCCACAGTGTCTTGTTTTGTAGCGGGTGTTGGAATGAGTTTAAGCCCTTTCGCCAGTAAATTAATCTGGTCGTTTGTAAGTTCTTTATTTGAGAGGTTTTTTATGTGCGTTTTGTTCGCCTCTAGTTTGATAGTTGAACGTGTTTGGCAAGACCGCGGTTTCAATTCTAATCTTGTGGATCTCGTCAATTGCCGATTCACTGAATAGACTGTTGCACCCGTATGCAATACAATGTCTAACCATGACGAGAACACGCTGTATCCTTAAGAAAATGAATAAAAATGCCTCCAAACGTAGCCGTTTGCTTCGATTTTACTTGAAAGTTTTACCTGTGTGGCCCGATAGCCTCGTTTCGAAACTTCAAAGTCCGCTGAGCTCTCATACAGTGGGCATAAATGCGATAAGGGCTATTATACACTGCGGGATGGATGAGCTAACGTTGCGTGAGGAAGCTTCATTCACTGCTTTCCAAACCATGCTGGAATCGCCTTTACTTTCTTCAATTAGGTTGCAATAGTAATTTGACTTCGAGGACTTAATTTTGCGATTCACAAAATTTCACAGCTTTCTATACATTCCCTAGTGGTATGCAGAGTTTGATTTCTGTGCTTTCCGAAGATGATAATTGCGATCGCGCATCGCTTCAGCGATTTTATCAGTCATCCTTGGAGCTGTCGTGCCCTTTACTCGGCGCTTTTTAAGCGGTGATGAGAATCCGCAACTTCGGTAAATAATTTGTTCCAAGTCAAAACTGCGTCGTTGACATTGCTCTCATCGCCACTGGTGCCACGGAAGGCATTTTTCGTCAAATCCTTTGAATGACCAATATTCCATTGTCCTCGGTGTGGCCTTTGGGACACCAGCTTTTAGCACACAATAAATTAGTGAATGATCGCTTATTGAGAGGGACACAACGAGCGATCATTCACATTTACTCTTTTCTAATATCAAAATGTCTGGAAAACGATAAATAACAGAGTCAAATCTGAATACATTCAAAATCTAATAATCTGATAAGTATAAAAATATCTAAAACTATACAGAAAAGCGAAAGGTGAATGGAAAATCTAGAACCCTATATATAATGCTGCAAAGAAGCATTAAACTATGTCATACATACATACATACATACATACATACATACATACATACATACATACATACATGGTTTATTTGTTAAAGCAGGTCATGAATATATAAACACTACCACGAACGGCACAGCGAAGTCCCGAAAGAACTACTGACACGCTTTAGCATTCTGAAAAAGTGTAGTAACAAGTTCGATTGTTTGGTGAACGAAATGCTTTTAGTCAGAGACCTAAAACCTACTCTGAACGTGCAAAGCGATTCAATTCGCGAAAAAGTATTCGTATAATTAGCTCCTAACATATTTAGGCTAATTTAGTGTTACACCTTGCCGCAAACTTTGTAATTTTTACTTCTCCTTGACAATTGCGTCATGATGACACCGAAACGTCAGTTTTTATCGTTGGTTTTGCTTGTCTTTGCATGAATAAAAGGCAGCATAAAAGCTGATGTGGACCTGCTATGCCTAAAAAATACCTAACTAAACCTAATACATTTGTGATAAAAAGCATAACTTAAGTCTATTTTAGATTCTAAATACTAAAATATATATATATATAAACTTGAGAATGCTCAATGCTTGTTATGGCTATTTCAATGCTCCCCCGGAAAANTTTGTTGAAGAGTGGAGCTGTTTCCACTGTTTCTCGGGTATTTCGTTTCTATGCTTATGTCAGCTGAGGCAGAGAACACCTACCTGTTCTACGCCTGCACATTAGTTATGTGTCTCAATGGTTTGATCGGTGGTCTTGGTATGCACCACCAAGACTACAGAGGTGAAGTGTTGGGGATCAAAATAGGCAGCGCCCTGAGGGGACTGGTGTACCACAAGGTAAGCACGATCTTAGAGAGTATTCTACTCCTTTGTCGTAGAGTCAATAAGCCTTTATCCATCCGATCTAGAACTAATTTTTTCCTGAAACCTCAACCAGTTGCAATCAGCTTATGCTATAGTGAGATCCAGAAGGAGAGGATCATCGAACATGCATATGATTACTGGTTGCTGCTTGTACGAGACAACTGTAGAACTCAAGTGATCCTACCCACCAACAAACGAACAATTAACAAACAGTAACTTAGTCTAAAATTAATGGAAAAGTATGCTCTAAAAAATATAGACCAGGGCTCGACACTAACTTTTCAACTTATTAGCCGAGTGGCTAGTGGCATCTTAGATGTTACGACAATTTCACTCTGTTTACTAGCCAAACTGGCTAGTGGAAATGGAAAACCACCAGCCAAAACTGAATCTCTACGTACTAGTGTGTGCCTGTTAGCCACCATTAGTGTCGAGCCTTGTAAACTTTTTATTAAATCAAGAAAAGTTATATTCAAAATTGTAAACTCTTACCGCTTTTGAGCCCTCAAAGATTAACCTTATCCTTCGAAAATTCTCTGCAAAAATGTACCGATAACTCTCCATGATCTGAGCATGACCCAAACACTTTCCTCTATGGCTATCACGGAAATAATTATTTGAATCAAGAATGCCTTTTTGTGTAGCTCTTTCTTGTTCAACTAGATCCCGCCCATGAGATGAAAAAAGTAGAATGTTACTTTCATAGGTCACCGGTAAACGGCCGCCCTGCTTAGCGAGATTCAAATTTTCGACTGAGTTGTCGCATTTAGGACTAAATTAAAGATACTTTAAAAAGTTCGGTAAAAGCTCGATTATTCTCGTCTCGAAACGCGGTTATGGTTATCTTTTGT